GTCGGTCGTCACGTGATTCTGCTCCGCTTTAGACGACCCCAAAAAGAGAAATGATCTGCGTTACACGAACTTGAAAAATCCTTGACTGTAATACAGATTTTACTTATCGGAGGGATTGGTAAAGGGTGATAAGTGCCATAAGTGCCTTAAGTTCGATAAGTAGCATTTGATTCCCTATATTAAGCATTGATTTACCTTTTTGCAGCGTATACTAAATGAGTCAAATCAAATATACATCCGATCCACCATATATAGAAAATCTATAACAAGCAATGATCTACCCTTTAAAACGGACGAAGCAATTCTTACACGGAAATTTATACGGATCTGTATGTAAATTATCGAAAAAATGAAAAAATTTAAACACATAGTCATACGAAATGTAAGGAAAAGTATACGGAAGCATTTAAAAATACATTACTACACGTAAAAGCATACATGACAACGCGTAAAAAATAACCAAAAATGCACGTCAATACTTTAATGGTGCATGGAATCCGCACCTTTTTACGTGGTTTAGATGTGCACCGTCCCGTATATATCTACATGTAATTTAGTGTTGTGTTGTCTCGTATTTAAAATTCCGTGCGCTCATGCTGTAATTTCTTATAGAGAATTTGGGAATTTTACTGCTAAAATTTAGTAATAACTTAATCGGTTTTTGAGATAGTACCTATGGAGTTCAACACCCATTGTGCATTTTAGTAATGTCGTATTTTGACTAAAATACCTAAATTATGTAACATTTAAAGTTTTATGACGCATTAACAGAAGTTATATAAACCAACTAGTTCAAACGAGTTTGGCTTAAACGATAACGATTTGAGTCTCGCACTGTGTCAAGATAGTTTCATCTTAATTACTTAACATTCCTATATAAAAACATGTTTAAAATTTTAATAATTACCTTTGACTACTTATTCTTAATGCAAAAGATGAAAGCATTTCGTAATATTGGCGGTAAAAATTCATTATTTTCTAAGGTGCATAGAGTCTTAGAAAATGATTCTTCTGATGGTTGTATTTGTCTTGGATCAAAATGGTACAGGTACTCAACCTGGATAATTCAATATAGATCCAAGCTCTAGGTTATATATATCCTCGTCTCGATAATAAATGTTGTGGCTGAAGCTGAAATTGCTGATGCAAAAATTTGATGACTCAATATGAAAATATAAATTTACTAAAATCTACATATACTTTATTATTAACAAACGCTGGAAAAAAACACCCAAAATAAATGTCTCTAAAAACTTTTTAAACTTCATATTAAGTAAGGTTTCAACATCAGCCAATTTTTGCATCGACATCGAAGTCGTCTACATGGCCATCTACTAGCTGCAGAACAGTTTTTTTTCACGAAGCTATTTTATTTTACTAAAATTAGAATTCACATTTCACAAACGAATTTTTCAGCAAACCGTTATTAGATTACAATAATTGTATAATTGTGCAACAACCCGGTGATTAGCAAATCATATTGAGAGAGCTGCCTGAAAATATCCTTCGTCTATGAATATAAATAATGCATCATGAGATACGCCATTAATGGATTAGATTTCAAATCAAAAGGTAAAAAATATTTATATGAAAACAAATATAAATACAAAAAATAAATACAGATTTATACAAAAAATAACTTTAGATTTATATATAAATCAACATATAGAAGAAAATTGGAAAATAATAAGACCTTTATAGCATCAATTTTATGTTATAAATTTTATCATCAATCAAGAAAATTCAACTTTAAAGTTCTATATTGCAAGATTTGTCTCATATAAAAACTAGTCCTAATTTTATTCTAAATTGATTTATGTATTGGTTATTTCCATCCATTTTGCAACACTTAGCCCATATTATTTATAAATAATTGTAGTGTCCTTTTAATGAGTTTAAAGAAGACAATATAAATTTTAACATCTCTTTCTATTATCATCTGACTATTAATGTTTTAAATTTTCTTAACTAATTACCGTATACTCTCTCCTTTAAATCTTTTCTATTCAGAAAGTTTATTTCATGACTTATATTTTGTGCACCTCCGATGGTCTATGTGTATTAATGTTGCTGCTATTCAGCCATATTCGCGTTAATTTGGCTTAACGGCGGTGCAATTGGAGTACCATTGTTTGGAGTATTTGAACAATTATTTATATTCACAAGTTTTTGGTTAACAATAACCTTAAGCGCATCTAGACAAGATTGCTGTGAGGGATCTACACCTCGTGTCCACAACATGATATCAAGTCTTTTACGAATATTAGCGAGATTCGGTCGTTTTTTGGGATCATTATCCCAAGCTTGATGATAAAGTTCTTGATATTCAGTTGGCGTACCAGGAATTGGAAGTTCTCTTTTAAATTTAACCACTTTACTAGCTATTTCTAGTACACTCTGATCTTTGAAAGGTGGTATACCACTAGATATTTCCCAGAGTAATACCCCTAAGCTATAGATATCTGAAGCCTTGTCTCGTACATATATTGGATTTTTGAAACATTTTGGTTCCACGTACGCAGCCATTCCTGCTATAGCGGAACTTGAACTAACGAGACTCGATTTTGATAATCTAAAATCAGTGATCATGACTTTACCATTGTGTATCATTATGTTTTTTGAATGCTGTAAATAAAAGGAAAATTAAAACAATATAAATACATATTTTTAATTAATATAGAAAAATAAAAAAGATTTCTTACTAAATTTCTGTGCAAAATATTCTCTGAATGAATAGCATGAAGGCCGCTAGCAATTTGTTCTCCCATTGAAATTTTAGTTATCCAGTCAAGTTTTTCAAAATTATGACAAAGAAAATCTCTAAGGTCTCCGCCATCTGCATACTGCATGACCATGAAATATTGAGAAGATGTTTGATCTTTTTATAAAAGATAAATTTCAAGTATAACATTAGTAAAGACATACTTCATTTTGATATTTCAAAACTATACGTGGTATCATATAGAAATCTAGACTAAAATTTTTTTAATAATTTATGTAATGATAATAAATAACCTGGATAGTTTATATTAAGTGCTATTATTAAACCATTTTTAGATATAGAGGACGAATTTTATTACTTTTTTCAAATGTTTAGTATATAACCGCCCTTAAACAAAGTTACATTAAAAATTTTTGATATTTTGATTTTTTTTAAATTAATCCGAATTTTAACTAATAAAGATACTATAACTTTGTTATAAATGCGGTTAAAAATTATAATATACTAAGTACTTAAAAAAAGCAGTATTGTTTATTCTCTACATCTAAAAAATTAAATCACTCTTTAATATATAATTATAATTTATAAAAATTAGCAAAAACAAAGTATAACAATATCACAAAAACTAATATAATTTATACAAAAAAGTGATATACATGAATTAATAACATTATTAACTATCCACACACACAATTTTCATGTTATATAAATATGAAAAACTCACCGTAACTAATGCCATAAAATCGAATAACATGATCGCAGAACTCTAAATGTCTAATAAATTTGAGCTGTGATTTTATAATTGAACTAAATGAGACATAGTTTACAAATTTATATATAATATTGCAAGAACAAGCCAATTATCAATTACAAATACCTCACGAACAAAACTATCAAGTGATCCTTCAGTTCTGGAGGCGTTGTTATGTGTTTTCAAAGCAACAAAACTTTCACCATTTGTCCAGTATGCCTTCAAAACTTCACTAGACGCACCTCGTGCAACGGAATTGATATTATAAAAATCATGGTAATTTATTGATCTTATGTGGCCACTTTTTATTGCATCTTCCAGCCATTTTTTTAACATTTTAACAATTTGAGAGAAGGAAAAATATGCGGATAATGACAACAAAGAACGTAATGAATGAATTTTTATATAAAAAAAGGTTCATCCCGGACTTTATTTTCCTGTCCGCTTTGAGAATTTAACTTCTTTTACAATTTTGAACTTTGACTTATTCATGTTATCTTATATGGTTACATTGTGTAATAAGTTTGCCATATACGTATTTATTTACATGCATTTTCCTGCAATATTTTACAAAGTATAACTATCTTGGCATTCTTATTACTGTATGTACAGTACGTACGTGCCAATAGGATATCTTCAAAGTTCTAATCATTTATATGTAATAAATTATAAGCACATATACTCCAAAAATAATATCTAGTGCTTAGCACAATTAAGAAAAACTTGTTCTCAAATATCTGATAAAATCGAATATCAATCATCTTAAATCACTTTAAATACTGTATATAACTAATATAGTACATGTGCGCATTCTGCATATATGTTAAGTGATTTATTTAAATTCCGTTTAATTACAGCTGTTTTCATAATTTCTGAAACACCTGATAAAAAATGCCGAATGATTTTTAGGCTGTTTCGGTTATTATTTCAGAATAATAGATTCAATAAAATTACAAATTGTATATATACACGTACGTACGTACGTATGTATGTAATTTTAATTAATGGGATTATTGACCTGCATTACAAAAAGTTTGTCAGCATTATATGTCGGCTCTATAAAAGTTTTGGCCAACGTTATTTACATAAGTATAATATTTACATAACGATAAGTCTGGTGTTCCGCAAAAAAGAACCGGTTGGAACCAGCATTTTTAGTGGACATAAAAGTAGTTTCCCACAAAAGGTACCCGGACTGAAAATCATATATATAATAGTGATACCTACACCAGAAACGGGATTCCGTTTGTACTTTTAACGTGCCTGTCACCAGTAGCAAACCTTCAAAGTTTTCGGTTCCGGATCCGGTGACCTTGAAAGAAATGTTGGAGATACAAAGTGAAGCCTGTTTCTAGTGTGGAGTTTTCAACATTATTATAAGTCGATTTTTATTTCGGTACCTTTTGTGGAACATTACTTTTATGCCCACTAAAACTGCCGGTTCCAACCGGTTCTTTTTTTGCGGAACACTATACATAAATCTATAATATTAATCATGCATCGATTAATATCATGAAATTTGTTTTGTCGAAGCAAATGATTAGTTGGCATGTCCATGTAGTGGCGTGTTTCAGCCAACAATTTGCTCATACAGATCAAATTTTGTGATATTTATTAACGCATGACTAATGTTAGTCGGAATACCCTATTTAGGGGTCGTCTAAAGCCTGGTGCCTTACGAAATTACCCGATATATGTCCCGTATTATTCCGAACAACCCGACAAAGACAAACCACGAAAATATAAAAAAATGGTTATCCAAAACGGTCTTGACGCACTAAGTAAAAGTGCCGGAAATGCGATTTTACTATATATCTACTAATGTCTAACTCTAACTCTAATATTAATAGATAGGATTTACCGTACTAAATCTAGTATATTGTACTAAATTTTGTACACTTTGAAGTCTAATTATCTGCTAATGTTATATAATAATTATATTTTTAAAAAAAATTTATAAGTTCTTTAAATAGTTGGCAACTTGTACTTAAAAACTTATAGATTACAATTTGTTTTTAAATTTTTAATAATCTTTTATTTTACAAAATTTTGCAAAAAGATTATAACTAAGTTTTACCCATGGTAATATTACCCAGTATTATAAAATTTTTATTAAAAATTAAATAACCTCAAGGTTAGGGTTAGAGTTAGCTTTAGATTAGAGTAAGAAATATTGTTTATATACAAAATTTGATATTAAAATTTTTGCTTAAAGTCAAAACATAGCTTTTATAATAAAATTTTGAGTTATTAGTTTTTTTTATTTTTTTACTTTGTTTTAGTTATACAAGATCCAATGATTTGATTGATTTATATATAATTAGATAATATTATCCCAGAGATGAGTTAGCAATAGTCTTGCAAAAATTTAATTAGTAAATTTTATATATTAAAAATTAGTAAAAGTTTAACTACATAAAAAATTTAATATATTACTTTAATTTTAAAAATATTTTATTTCTAATTTTTATTAAAAATTACTATAGAGTAGTCAGAAATCTATACTTATAATCTTTGAATATTGTTTAATTAGATTGCTATATTCAAAACATATATTTTCTATATTTATAAGTAATAAGTTGCAATGTAGTTATCCCTTAAATTGTAATACAGACAAATTTGACTGTGTTCATTTTTTTAAACTCTAATTTTTTAATAAAATCTTAAATATTAATTTTAGCAATATACTTTCTAAGTAAAA